GAAGGAAGGAAGGAAGGAAGGAAGGAAGGAAGGAAGGAAGGAAGGAAAGAAGGAAGAAAAGAAGGAAAGAGAAAAGCTTCAGGGTTGAATACGGCTACTTCTTTCTTGGACATGTAAATACAAAATGCCTATAGACTATCCTTTTAAAGCTGTGCAGGTTGCTGTATGTGTTTATGTGAAACTTTGGAGACATACACATTTGTGAGTCATCAGGTTGTATGTGCTACTTAGAAATGTGGGAATGGTTGATATTTCCAAGGGAAAGTGTACATAGGTGAATAGTGATTAAATGATGGAACCATGCAGAAAGCTAACCAATAATTAATAACAACTGTGGGAGAAGAGCTCAATCCTAAGGAGTATTTTTTAAAGTTAAAAGGAAGGAGATCCAGGAAAGTTGGGTGCCCACAGAATTTAAAGACAGTGATAACTCAAATAGAAAAGCAAGTTGAGTCCAGTGCACTGGTCATTACACAGAGTGTCCAATCTTGGTAAAGATTGGACATCTTTACCATCTTGGTAAAGAACCACCATCATAACTAAAATTATTTACTCCTCAGAGTTAATAAAATGACCTATAGGCAGATATTAAATTTGTTATATTTATGCAGTTATTTTATCCTATAATTTTTCACATTAGTAAAGTATGAATTTTGTTTTGTTTTGTTATGATCTTACAAGGGAATGTTGCTTTAGTCAGGTTGTTACAACAGGGAGAATCCACAAGGGAATGCCCCCTGGATATAAGCAATGAGGAGAGTTCATAGAAGAAAGAAATGAGAGGCAGAGTATCGGTTCCAAACTTGAGGTTTCATCTCATAGAAAGGAATTGCTTTCCTTTGTGATTTGGTCCATCTTACTCCATTGCATCTTATAACCAGAATTGTTGATTTAAAGAAGGGATTTCAAGATGTGTATTAGTCTTTTGTTACCAGGAAGGATGTGGTCAGTATAAATTCAGAGTAGAACATTTTTACAACTCACTACAAATGACACGTTTTCTGCAGCCTCAGAGATTTCCATATTAAATTCACAAAACGAGATTGATTAGAATGTTTAAAGCAGATGTTCAATAAAGTGTTATTCACAAAACTCCAAACCTTGGAGAACTCTTCACTACAGTCAACTCTTCGCCTCATTACACTTGAGAAGTCAGCCTTGGTTTGCATAGTTGGTGCTCACAGTATTTGTCATTTCTGGTGCTTTTTGTTCTTTTGTAGATGCATATTTCCATCTGGTATCAATCTTATTTTGCTTGAAGGACTTCTTTTAACATTTATTTATTATAGTGTGGGTCTGGTAAACATGAATTCTTTTCACCCTTTGTACTTCTGAAAAAGTCTATTTCATCTTCATATTTTGAAAGATCTTTCCTCTGAGTATAGGATTCTAGTTTTTCCTTTTGGAACATTAAAGATATTCTGCTGTCTTTTTGTTTGCATTGTTTCCAAGAATAAATCTGTTGAAACTCCTATTTATCCTTCTGTGTGTAATATGACTGGCTGCTTTTAAGATTTTCTCTTTACCACTGGTTTTGAGCAATTTAACTGTGACATGTTTTTATGTCATTTTCTTCATTTTCCATGTGCTTGTGGTTCATTGATTTTGAATCTGTGAGTTTATAGTTTTTATAAAATTTAAGCATTGTCTGGCTAATGTTTCTTCAAATATTTTGTTCCTCCTCCTCTCCTTTGAAGATTCCAATATCTTATATATGTATATAAGACCCCTTATTTATGTGCACGTATATAAGGTGTTACAGTTCATTGATGCTTTTTAAATGCTTTTTGATTTTTGTGTTTCAATTTGCATAGTTTTCTGGTGTGTCTTCACATTCATGAATCATTTCTTCTGCAATGTCTAATCTGCCTTCAATCATATTCAGTGTATTTTGCATTTCAGACATTATCATTTTTGTCTCTACAAGTTCAACTTGAGTGTCTTAAAAAATATTTCCACATGTCTAGTGAATGTTTTGAGTATATGAAACCAAGTTATACTAGATTTCTTTGTCATTGTCTGCTAATGCTAAATCCTATGTCAGTTCTTGGTTGGTTTTGACTGATATTTTTTTTCCCCTCCTCATTACAAGCCATTATTTATCTGCTTCTGTGCATGTCTGGTAGTCTCATTGGGTGTCAGACACTGTGAATTTTATTCTGAGAGGTAAAATTCTTAAAATTTTATAAAATGCAAATTTTTTGTGTATTTTTTTATATTTCTGTAACTATTCTTGAGCTTGTTTGGTAGTTATTTGGAAGCTGTTTGATTATCTTGGTCTTGTTTTTAAGATTTGTTGGAAGATGCTGAAGCAGTGTTTAGTATAGGGCTATTCTCACTACCAATGCAAGAGTCTTCTGAGCACTCTGTCCAATGAATTATGAGGTTTTCATGTCTTGTGTGAGTTAGGTACTGTTACCTTAAATGCATCACTCTGGTTCTTTCCCAGTTCTTGTGTAGTTACCAGACATTCACGCCCTGATGAGTACATTACTGAATACTCGAGGGGGACTTTCTGCAGATCTCTGTAACTCTGTCTTTGCTTATAACCTGTCTTGCACAGTCTAGCTGCTTTGGACTCCTTAGACTCTCAGCTCTATCTCCTCAACCCAGATTTTCTACCAGGTTCTGTCTTTCTTCTGCTTGCACCATGATCTATAAATTCTGTATAGGACAGTCATAGGATTCACCTTGTTTGATTCCTGTCACTCATTGATCATTGTTCTTCATTACCTAGTGCTCATTGTTTCCTATATTTTGTCTAGTTATTTGGTTGTTTCTGATGAGAGGATAGGTCAGGTTCCTGTTAATCTGCCTTGCTGGAAGCAAATCAAAAAGTAGCAGTTTTTAATGAAGCATTGCTACGCTATGTAATTATCAGTCAAAAATAAAATAAATCATTTTTATTTTGTATTTCTATGTTATTTTATTCTCTGACATATTTTTAGGTCTGTTGACCTAAATTCATAAATCTTGATTTTTGAAGGAAGCATGAAACACAGCTACATCATCCTACCACATATATTGTTTGTATTTTTGTTTTGAGTTTGTAGTTATTTTGAACTCTTTTCAGACAAAGTGATTTTATACTCAAAAATAATTTATAACCTATTGAGCTTTTCAAAAATACTTGCTTTGGTATGTAATG